CCTAATCTTTATTGCCCTGCTTACAGAAACTGCCTCTCTGGTTAACCCTTATTACATTGTAACAGCTAAGGTGAAGCACCCATCGACCTGAGTGACGTTGAGCTGGCCATGCCCACAATCACATGACCACCGAGCCACGCCTACCCAACTGACCATTAGGGCAGAGAACCGGTTGTTAAATTATTTGAATCCCACCATTGTGGGAAGGGTGTAGGGTGGGTAGGTGGTTCAGTGGCTAAGATGCTGAGAAAGGTCAGCAGCTCGAATCCCTAGCACCGCATAACAGAGTGAGCTTCCATTACTCATCCCAGCTTCTGCCAAATCTAGCAGTTCGAAAGCATGTAAAAAATGCAAGTAGAAAAATAGGAACCACCTTTGGTGGGAAGGTAACAGCATTCCATGCGCCTTCAGCATTGAATCATGCTGGCTACATGACCACAGAAACATCTTTGGACAGCGCTGGCTCTTTGGCTTTGAAACAGAGATGAGCACTGCCCCCTAGAATCGGGAATGACTAGCACATATGTGCAAGGGGAACCTTTACCTTTACCTGGGAAGGGTGTGCATATCCAAAGGCTGCTCTCATCTTGATAAAACATGGCAGGGCAGTGTGTGGTTGCTCATAATTTCCTGCTGCCCTCAATAAACAACCGCAGTCCACTTCTTGAAAGTGCAGTTTGCTTTGGACTCTTGTCGAGTGGATGGGAGAGGTATGCAACTGAAAGCCCGAGGTGGGATGTCAGAGAAGGAGAGATCAGATGGGTCTGACAATTTTTAGCTATGGTCCTGACCTTTGTTTTTGTAAACCCCACACGTTACTGACCTGTGCCTCTGTAGATCCTCTTCAAGAAAAAAAGCAGTTATCCTCTCCTGAGATAAAGGACGGATGAGAAAAAACCTTTCCCAATCTGAGGTTTCCTGGATGGGTTGGATTGCAAATATTAACATCCAATCATATTTCAAAACATCTGAAAAGAATCATATTAAAATGGTTTCATGTGAACCTAATCAAGTTCAAGCCTGCCTGCCTGCCTGCCTCTTCCTTCCTTCCTTCCTTCCTTCCTCTCTCCCTCCTTCTTTCTTTCTTCCTTCCCTCTTTCTTTCTTCCTCCCTCTCTCCCTCCCTCTTTCTTCCTTCCTCTCTTTTTTCTCTGTCTCTCTCTCCCTCCCTTTCTTTCTTTCTCTTTTTCCTTTCCTTCCTTCCTCTTCCTCTTTCTCTCTCTCTCTCTCTCCCTCCCTCCCTTTTTTTCTTTTTCTTTCTCTCTTCCCTTCCTTCCTTTCTCCCCCCCCTCTCTTTCTTTCTTTCCACCAACACCTTTCTGGCACTGGCAGAAAAACACTGATAAATTGCCAAAATACTGTATATTGAAGTTAGCATCTGGCCTTTAGTACACTTTACATAGTTTAGTTGAATTGAAGTCAAGAGGGCTGGTTATTGCTTTGCTTTTAGTGTATGCCTATTCTGAATTTGAGTGCCCTAGAAATATAGTTGTTTTAGGCTAACCTGTGAAGTGAATCAGTGCATGTGAATAAGAGCCTTCTTGCTTTAAAAAAAACACATGCAAACAGAAAGGACTTTTAGCCATGTCCACTTCTTCCATCTGGCCTCTTGTAGTTTGCCTGTGCAGCAGAATCTTGCCGGGAGCTTACAAATCATCTCTTGCAGGTATCTCTTCTCCCACCTGCATGATTATTCAGCCAGCCGAGACATCATCTGGCTTTGTGGTGATCTGGCAGAGACTGTGCAGAAGGTAGGTAGCAGTGGGTAGCATTTTGGTTGGGGAAGAATTTTACAGCCCAGAGATAGGTTATACACACACCCTGCAAATTAGTTGGAACAAGAAGAGCATTTTAAGAAAAATCTATTTTTCCTGATTTCCTGTAGATTTTGTGATTGTATGGATGGTTCAGTATTTCTATGTTGTGTGGCTAATGGGGTAATTGCTCTATTCTGTGATGGTATTCATATACTATATTAGAATAGAATAGAATAGAATAGAAAGGGATCTTGGAGGTCTTCTAGTCCAGCCCCCTGCTCAAGCAGGAGAACCTATACCAGTTCAAATGAAATCTTGTGAAGAGTTTGATTTTCAGGAGTGTTTTGAAGAGTGCAACAGAATTGAAAAAAAGTTGATATAAAGTGAATGCCAACTATGTTGAATAGTGTGAATGCATACAGATTAACCATGGTTAGTAGCAATTATCTGGTTATGATGTACTAGAAGAGAGTTCCTGTTACTTCTAGTTAACAATAACTGGAAGTTAAATAACCATGGTTTCAGAATCTTTAGAATTCTTTACTGGCCAAGTGTGATTGGACACA